CAGAAATCTTTTAAATCACTGCAAGGCAAACTGAAACAGGAAAAGGAAAATGTGGCAAGAAACTTGTTTTATATATATACACACACATATATATGCCATATATATAAGCCATATATATATAAAAAACCATATATATATGACCATGTATATTCTAATAAGTTAATAAAAAGTTAAAACCCCCAAATCCAAAAGGCAAACTGTAATAAACAGGTAATTTCCAGAAAAAGACAAAAAACATGATAAAAATATGAAAAGCTATTCAACTTCACTGATAATAAGGATAATGCAAACTAAAATCTCAATGATAATAATTTTGGTTTTTATAAATTTGGCAAACATTGGGAAATTTTGTAAGTTAGTATTAGCAGTATACAGAAAATAAAGTACTTTTATTCTCTTTCTTTTAAATATAAATTGATAATTTTAAGGGCTATTTGATGGGACAATGAAAATTTAAATTCTGTGAACCATTTTACCAGTATTTCCCTTCTAGCTATGAAGTTTAAGGAGATGCGTGTGTGTATGTTTGTGTATTTAGTACTGCCTATAAAAGAATAAAAATAATATTGAATATTAGTCAAGATGAACGCTGTGAATTGAAAAAAATCCTAGAAAAAAAATGGCAACCTACATATAATATCACATATGTCAAAATATTCATACAAAAATGAATAGAAACATAAACAGTTAATAGCAACAACAATGCTCTCTTAATAGAAACAAAGATGAGCTCTTTTTATCTCATAGCATTTTTTTGTTTTGTTTTGTCTTGTTTTGTTTTGTTTGTTTTTGAGACAGAATCTCGCTCTGTCGCCCAGGCTGGAGTGCAGTGGCACCATCTCTGCTCACTGCAACCTCCGTCTCCCAGGTTCAAGCGATTCTTCTGCCTCAGCTTCCCGAGTAGCTGGGACTACAGGCATCCACCACCACACCGGCTTTTTGTATTTTTAGTAGAGACGGGGTTTCACCATATTGGCCAGGCTGGTCTGGAATTCCTGACCTCAGGTTATCCACCCGCCTTGGCCTCCCAAAGTGCTGGGATTACAGGCGTGAGCCACTGTGCCCGGCCTCTCATTGCATTTTTATACTGAAAAATAGTAGAGTGATATTTGGTACTAAAATATTGATTCAAATCAGTGCTTGCTGCTGTAAGTCCAAGTTTATTGTCCTTCTTTTAAAGATGAATAATATTCCTTCTAATACTTAATGTATTCTATTATAATGATACATCAGCATTTCAGGTAAGATATCAAAGCTAATGAAAATAAATTTCAAAAAAGTATCAACTATGAATTTACACCATTTTAATTTTTTCTAAATTTGATGAAATTATAATTATCTTTAAATTTATAGATTCTCTTATTCTCTTCTGAGAGGTACACATAAAAATATCCATGAAAATATACATATTTCTAAATATTCTCCATGATGGTACATATATTTATTTTTCAAAATTTGTATTATTGATTTCTGACACAATACAGAGTTATTTTATGAAATGTCATTGATATTTTCTTCATTGCTAATTCTTTATTCATAAAATTAGTCATCTTTTATCATTTGCTTTTCAAATTTATTTATTCCATAATACAGCCCAATTTCAAGATTTGAGGGATGATATTTCTTCCTTTGTTGTACATACCAGAAATAGTCAACTGGCATATAACCACCTTCCCCACCCTCTTCTCTGCCTCTTCTTGAACTGCAGAGAAAAGTATATTTCAAAGATTCGCCTCACCTTTAGCTAGGATTTTGCATGTGGATAGGTTTTAGCCAGTATGCTGGTGCAGATACTGCATAGGCTAAGAAAAGCAAGGACAACTTCTTGTTATTTTATTTTATTTGTTTATTTATTTATTTATTTTTCTTTTTTTAGCAACCAAGGTCGACATGATGTTTGTCTGTACTTGTGGCATACTCAGCATTTGCATCTGGTCACCAGCGTTTCCTGTATTAACAGGCAGTGCTATGGCAGCAGCTACAGTCTCCTGATTTCTGGATTGCAGCTGTAACAGTTGTCCTTAAATTCTTTAAAGTAGTGGTAGCCCCAGACTCCTATTCTTCTATGTCTTTTGGAAGTATTGAGTTTTCTGTATTAAATTCTTTTCTTTTAAATTCTCACAATACCTGGAATGATTTTTCCTTCATTAAACATTGACATCTAGAGTATTTCGTATCCAACATAGTGGAGCATAGGCTGGGGTCAAAATAATACATAAAATATGTGATACTGGCTAAGAAAGTGATTGGAATATTTATGTGTGTTACCTTCTCCTGATACTTTTAAGAAAGTAGGTAAGAGAAAGTCAGGAAAGTGTACCTGTACAAGCAGTAGTGGAAGAAATACAGCTAATCAAAGGAGACTTTTCTTTCACCTAACTTGACTGACAGGCTAGACATTTCAGGGCTTAGAAGTTTGGATCAGTTAAACAACAAGAATAAGAGAAGCTCCCATTGAATGTCCTCTGTCAGAGACAAAATTGTGTTGTTCCTTGTGGTAGATGTATCTATTTCCCTGTGTCCTTTGTCATGTGATTTGATATCCCTCATGCTAAAGGTGGGCATGTTCTCCCATCATTTCCCCTTGGGCTTGGCAATGTGACCAGCTTTAGCCAATGAAATGTGGATAAAAGTGATAGTGGCCAAATTCGTAATTGCAAAAATATAGAATGAGCCCAAATGCTCATTAATCAATGAACAAATAAAGAATCTGTGATTATATAAATGATGGAATACTACTTAGCCATGAAAAAGAATAAATTAATGGCATTCACAGCAACCTGGATGGCATCAAAGACTATTATTCTAAGTGAAGTAATTTAGGAATGGAAAATCAAATATCATATGTTCTCACTCATAAGTAGAAGATAAGCTATGAAGATGTGAAGGCATAAAAATGATACCATGGACTTTGGGGACTTGGGAGGAAAGGGCAGGACATGGGCGAAGGATAAAAGACTACAAATTGGGTTCAGTGTACACTGCTTGGCTGATGGGTGCACCCAAATCTTACAAATCATCACTGAAGAATTTACTCATGTAACCAAATACCACCTGTTCTCAAAAACCTATGGAAATAAAAATAAAAATTAAAATTAAAAAATAAAGACTGTGGTAGGACCTGTAGGTGAAATGAAGATAAATAGGATCTGTGCTATGAATCAAGCTGTGACTACAAATTCCTATAACTAGAAGACACAAAGGAATATATAATATATATAATATATTTATATATTTATATATATATTTATATATATATAAAATATTCTGCCAAAAAAAAAGTGATAGTGGCTAGATCTGAGCATAAGCCTTGAGAAGCATAGCAAATTTGAGGCTGTCTTCTGCACGTCCCATTAGGGGAGCCTCAGCTAACATGCTACCCAAAGAGAATGAAATAAACATGGCCTCAACCCCATAGCTTAGATTTAAGTCATCCAGCTGAACACAGCCTAGATCAGCTAAAGCTCAGCCAGTAATAGACACGTGAATGAATGAATGCTTCCTGTTGTATGCCACTGAGATTTTGTGATTGCTGGCAACTAGAGACTGATTAACCTCCATACCTAAGCCTACTGCTTCACATTGCTTCACAAAAGCCATCATTCAACAGAGAAAGACACAAGTGAGTTAAGCAGAGAGAACAGTTAGTAAATGTGCTCAGAATCATGACCAGAAAACTTTCACATAAAAGTATCTGGGGATAAACAGACCAAAATTCTAGTAAGTTTTGAGGAAATTACTTTACCAATGCAACTACAAGCCTGGCCTTCAAAGCCATGTAAGTATTACATGAATAAAGCAACCTGCTTATCTCCCAAAGGCATGTGCAGAAAGTAGGCTGGGATGCCGGGCACAGGGGCTTACGCCTGTAATCCCAGCACTTTGGGAGGTCGAAGCGGGTGGATCACGAGGTCAGGAGATGGAGAGCATCCTGGCTAACATGGTGAAACCTCGTGTCTACTAAAAAAACACAAAAAATTAGCCAGGCGTGGTGGCGGGCGCCTGTAGTCCCAGCTACTCGGGAGGCTGAGGCAGGAGAATGGTGCAAACCCGGGAGGTGGAGCTTGCAGTGAGCCGAGATCGCGCCACTGCACTCCAGTCTGGGCGACAGAGCGAGACTCCGTCTCAAAAAGAAAAGAAAGAAAGTAGGCTAGGAATGCTGGGCAGAACCCAGGGAGAGCATTTTCTCTAACACCAATTTCAGACATAGCCACAGATAATAATAGACAAGAATCCCCAAGAGGGCAAAGCTGAGAGCAATGAGGATTTTTGGACAAAGAAATTCCTCCCAGAAAGCACAACCAGCATTCAATCAAGGAATTTAGACCAAGGCAGAGGTTTTTCACCCTTCCTTGCCAGCAGAGTTTTTTCATTGCTGTAAACTATGAGTACTGACTGGACATCACATCTCACACCTGTAATCCCAGCACTTTGGGAGGCCAAGGCAGGAGGATTGCTTGAACCTAGAAGTTCAAGATGAGCCTAGGCCATATAGCAAGACCCCATTTCTTAAAAAAAAAAAAAAAAAGAAGAAGAAGAAGAAGAAAAAAGAAAAATTAACGAAGTTGGCCAGTCATAGTGGCATGCACAGTAGTCCTAGCTACTCAAGAGGCTGAGGCAAGAGGATTTTTGAAAACCTGTCACTACTCTGTGGTGTGCCTCTAATTCTTCCTTTTATTTATGGGGCGAGTTTAAAGCAACTATCTGTTGCATACTGGGTATGTGTGAGGAGTGGGAACAGATATAGTTTATATCCCATTAGTTAACCAGGAACCAAACCTGGAGCGTATAGGAAGGACTGCACATCACTCAGAGATCCTAAATTTCTAGTTGCGTATTGTAGCTGAATGGAATTTGGGATAGTATCCTTAGGGAAGCGGTCAGTGAGGGAAAGAAGTTATCATCAAACGAAATGTGTGTGGAAATAATGTATACAAATCCATGTGACTTATCTGGAAACATATGCTTGACATCCATTTTCTCTTTCCGCCTTTGTATAGGATGGAACACCAGGCTATAGTTTCAGGAAGCCAGCCTTGAGTTTGCAAAAAATAGCACCCCCTTCAGAATTGGTAAAACAATGAGAAAGAATTGCCCAGAACTTCATGGAGCTGAGCCATTCACCCATCCTGGAACATCCACCTTCCTCTGGAATTGTTTTTTTAATGTATTTTCTTCTTGTTTAATCCACTAATTCTCTCTCTTTTCCTCTCTTTCTCTCTCTCTCATCTCTGTTCCTTTCCACAGCAACATAGACTATATATGATTATATATTTGAGTGTATTTAATTTTAAAAGTACATACATAGATATTTACAGAACTGCTCAATCAGAAAAAAATACACTTAATAAATAATTGTTCAACAATGGCCTTGATGTGCTATAATTTGTATTTCCACCAAATGAGTCCCAGTTACTTTTAATGTGTATTTTCCATGCTTGTTCACCTATTTCATTTTATATTAAATGTATATTAAATTTCCCTCTAATGTTTTGATTTTCTAACAAAATGTTGGTCATGTTTAGATGTTATCAAAATCAATAATTTTTTCTTTTCTTATCATAAGTCAGAGCAATCTTAATCTTACGTTAGAATAATGGAACTCTTATTCCTAACACAAAGTTATGGCCTTTCTTCACTTTATTTTTGAAGCAGAACTTACAAACTAGTGTTTTCAATAATTCTAGAAATTTGGAAAAGTGAGTCTTAGATAAACATATAATAATCTTAGGTTTAAATGTGAAGCGTCAGTATTTCAGGCAGTAATGGAACTTTGTTTTTTGTATTCGTCTTTTCTTCCTTAGTTCTTTTATAATTGTTTCTAGCTCAAGAAATCCTAAGTTACTTGCAGTTTCAGACCAAGATAGAGTAGATGGAAATTTCCTTACTCTTCCCTCTAAGTACAACTAAAAATCCGGGACGTTCTGTATAAAACAATCATAAAAGGACTCTCAAAGTTGGAGGAAAAAACCTACCATTTGAGACCCTTTTACTCAAGGAATTACATGAGTTTCTTGATTTTGCTTTTTGCTTCATATATCTCAGACTGTGTGATGGAGGAGCCAGCAATCTGGGAACAGCAACAATAACACACACAAAAAAAAAGCCCCATGGAAAACCAGCTCTCTCAAGCCAAAGTACAGAAAAGAGGAAGGAAAGCAAAATGAAAAATTCTTAGATAATAGGTACCCCACTTCAGGCCAATACCACAAAAAAATAACAGCCCTGTCCTCACGCCCTTCAGCAAAGGCCACGCTGATAGCCAGGACTCCCATGACTAATCCCTTTTTCCCCAGTACCTCTCTTGCAGTAAATGGAACCACCAATAACCCACTTGCTCTAAAAACAATTTCCAGTATTTCAACAACCAAGTTCTGTCAGCTCTACTTCTCATATATCCTTCAACATGTCTCCTCTTCCAATACTGTTGCCACCACTAATGCTCTCTTCCTTTAAATACAGAAGAAGCCTCATTGTTCTCTCTGCACTATCCATTCACAATCTTACCCCAATCTAGTCTTCACTGCAGCCAGAGTAACCCTTCTAATGTGTGTATGTTATCCCTCCACTAAAAATCCTCCAATGGCTTCCCTGTGCCCAAAATACAAAGGTCACACTTCTCTGTATTCCCTTTGCTATTTATTTGTCTAAATATAGAAAGAAATTAAACTTCTCTCTGAAATTTTTCACAGGCAAAAAAAAAAAAAAAAAGAACTCTCATTTCTTATTTTTTAACCTCCATTAAAGCCATCAATATTATGAGATGCTGTATTCACACTTAGGCACACTTCAGGAACTGTAGAAACAGAGGAACAAGTCATACTCTCTGATGTAATTTGAATATGAAATCTACACAATTTCTTTATCTCCAAAGAGCAACAAATTAAACCAAAGTATTTTCCAGACATCACTGGGGATCCAATCCCCCACACTCCACATATACATTTATTTAATCTGACGACTACGTTTGCCAGACCTCGGATATAGTAACATCCCTAAATTGTATGCTTTCAGAAACCATTTTCACCAGATGAGAAGAAATTTCACAGCATTCTAAAGCTTCATCCAGAGTTAACTTTTCACAAACAATGTGTTTATTAACTCAGAAATTGTACATGTGAAGTTAGGCAATTGTTAACAAGTTGATGCTCTACTCTCTCTAAGCTTCCTTGTTACTCTTTAAGCAATTGCAATTCGGCAAGTAGAATATTAATTTCTATCCATGCAATCACCAAAAGTGAAAAATAAAAACTATTTCTCTATTTCTACAACATAGAATTATTGCCATTACGTGCAACTCTAAACATGCTCTCGGGTCTTAAATTAAAAGAACATGTCTGTCTTAATGTCTATAGCGGTAAAATAATTTGTTCAGGCTACTTGCTACTAATCTGTAGGTGGAAACTTCTTGCTTAATAATTTAATTTTTCCTGTTCAATGACAGCAGTGTTCACCAACACATACCTTACTTCCAAAGCTCACGGTATCCCATTTTCAAGGACTGAAATGAGTAGTCTTTCAAATATTTGATGAGCAGACAGAAGGAAAGCCCCTTTTTTTCCTCTTGGTCAGTAAACAAACCCAGAGAGAATAGCTTTCCAGCATGTTGAAGATGCTCTGGCAGGTCATTAATCCCAGAAAAATCTCTCCAAACTTACTGATGCGTGGATTCCATTTTCAAATTTCTCATTAGTTCCTCTTTATGGATTAAATGCTGATGTTCACGAGTGAATGCACACAGCTTCAGCTGATGGATGTAATTGGGTTGTAATGGATTTTAGCTGCTGTTCCTTCTGATCTAGCCAATTTGAAATGCAGTATCAATGTATTCTCCCCATCTCTCAGTAGGGAATGAGAAATTGAAACGTACAAGATGAAATTTATCAACTTTCATAAAGTCAGCTTCAACCATCATAAAACTGTTAAACTTCTCATTATCATTCCACCGCAGTTATTTCTCGAACTCTGGTTTGGCAGTGAAAGTATTAAAGTGTATTTGGAAGAAGTAGAGTTGATCCTTCAATATTCTGTGTGTCCTCAGCATTGATTTGGGTGCTGTAAATATTACCAAGTGAAGATGGCATTAACACAGCAAAATTTAACACCAGAAACATAAAATGACAAGAAAAGATTTAAAGGTTGCAAAACCTTCTGCAATTTTATATTTAAAGCATGATTTGCAGCTATACTAGGTTTGATAACAAAGATTACATGTTTCAACATCTCACAAATTGCTACTAAGCTGTTCTTTTGGTGTATTTTGGTGTCTCTTGGTACTGAAACATCTAGTGATGAATGGAAGACATGCTTTGGGGAGAGCCCCAAAAAGTTGTAAGCTGTCATAGTCACCCTTCATTTTCTACACTGTCATATGTATGTGAGCTTTTTAAGTCACAACAGTATTTTTATTTGGTTCTATATTCATGAGCACTGTCACAGCAACGTCTAGAATTTAATTAACTTCAAATAGACTGAACTTTCCTTTTATTACTAACAGCATTAAGTTGAATATATGGGAAAATATCTATTTAAAATTTTCAGTGAAAGGTACCAAGGAAAAACAATTCTCCATTCCTACCAGCCTTTTAGATTAGTGCATAAATTCAAGGTTCTCATACAATTCTAAAGTTTACTTAATGCCAAGAACACTGTAAAACACCACTAGACATGTACACACCCCTTATATTTTGTTCTACAGAGACAACTTACCACTGCTAAAATTAGAGAACACAGGATAGCTAAAATGATAGAGCAACATATATTATCTAGTTCTTGTAAATTGTGTCTGAATTTACACAACATTTTCTTTATATTACACATTTTACAAATATATAAGAGGGCAACTATACTTAGGACTCATAGAAGTTAGCCAGCTTAGGTAACATACTTAGGAGGAAATGAAAAGGATTAATGTCTTATTTGCTTTTCATGAATAATATTAAGCAGCACATACATTTCATTTAGCATCCTCAAATCACTTGACAAACATTAAGTAATTAATTAATTAAACAGAAGACCACAATGAGCTTAATTATAACCCATCCTCTCCTCCCCCGCAAGGACACACAATGCTTCTTGGTTCAAGCAGGTTTTGAAATAACAAGAATAACCTTTCTTGTGATATTTGACTGCCAGTTTGAGCCCGGAAAGTACCTGGGTGCATGACAATTAGATGTTTTTAAAAAGGTCAATTGGATTTTGTGTAACCTCCAAAATGAGAGGTTAATATTTTATCTCCTCCAACCCCCTGGAATTGCTTTTCATGCTCACACACACACACCAATAAACAACTGGCTTAATGTTCCAAACAAAAATTCTCCCTCCTACTTGAAAGACTATGCCCAGGACCAAATTTATGGCAAATGATATTGCATTAACATGCAACAAAACCTGCAAAGGAAGATATCATTTCAAAGAAAAAATGATTTTATTTACTCCTGTAAATTGATATTAAAATCAGCACTTACTATCTACAAAGATAATCTCTTTCTGACCCATAGGAGAAAAAGTGACTCAGAGCAGTAACCAATTTTGTTTGTCTGCAAAAGCCTACCCATTGACACAAAGGAAAATTTAAGTTATTTACCACTCATTGTTTTTATTTGTACCTGACCTAAAGATTTAAAATAGAATAATTTTTCTTAATGGGATGACTTTCATTTCAAACATAACCAAGTTCAGAGGGAAAAAAATGATATACGAATTTTCATGGCCATCATACAAACCTTATGTTGCGAACTTATATTGCAGACTGCCCTAATGTCATGTGCACTCCTCAAGGTGACTCACTGAAGAAGTATAACAAGAAAGGTGACCCCAGTAACACTGTCTTCTCTTTGCTTTGGAACTTTCCTTCTTAGCAACAAAAGACTTTCAAAGAGAGGAAGGCACAGTGGGTCTATGACGCACTTAACAAATACTCTTCATTTCAATCATAATTCAAAGAAACTTTTGAAATTGTCTTTTTGAACAGTATTTGTACTACTAAAAAAATCTTAAATTCAATACTAAATATTCACCAACTATTTTTCATTAAAAATAATATTAGGGATCACTGATGCCATTATTTATACATGGTAAAAAGGTTTTGGGTATTTCTGAAAATCAACTTGCTTGCTCAAAAGGTGAAGATTTGCTATCCTTAGGTTGAAATAATTTTTTAAAGTGTGCTCATTGCTCTGAGAACAATTTCAAAAAAGAGATTTCCAAAACAAAATATTGTGAATTTAGATAGTCTTACATTTTGGTAATTTTATTAAAAAGGAATCTAAATCATTTTAGAGAAATTTCATACACACCTTCTCTAATGTTGTCTTTCCTTGAGAAAAAAGTAATACAATTTTATCTCTCCAGCTGATCCTCTATATTTGGAAAATTGTTTCTATCATATGTAATTCCCTTTTTTATCTCCAAGATATTAAGGTTTGTTTCACACATCTGGCTCCACACACAATGCTGCAGGTGAAGTAAAGGATCACTTACCTCAAATCTCAT